GAATCGTCAAAGGATGCTAAATCTAGGAGGGGTAGATTTGATGAGGAACAGAATTGTCAACCAGGTCTCAAAGTTTCTCCTCACAAATTACCCACTAATGCAAAAGCAAAAACAGTAACAATAACGATACAGTGGAGAAACTGGACAACATCTTACCCAAGTGATCAAAATTAGTATCATGAAAAAGGGGCGAATGGACATTCTGTGCATCTGGATGTATACCTGCAATACATATCACTTACAGTATTTCAACCCACACTGCACAACCCAAATCTAACCATGAGGAAGCATCAGAAAAACCCAAATTGAAGGACACTCCATCCTTTAGCTGTCCTGTATTTTTCAAATGTATTACTATTACAAAAAATAAAGAAAAGCTGGGGAACTGCTCCAGATTAGAGAGTTATGGCAATACGACGTATGATCCTAAGCTGGATCATGGAGCTGAAAAAAAATTACCAATAAAACAGCAAATGAAATTGAAATATGGACGTAAAGTATTATGTCAAAGTTAAATTTCTAAACTTGGTAGCTGTACTTGGGTAAGATAGCATGCTTGTTCTTATGAAGTACATACATAGTATTAAAGGGTAAACAGTATGATGTCTACAGTATATTTTCTAATGGGTCAAGGATTCTAGGATTCACACCCCCAGGTAAGGGAACTGGGAGTTAAAAGGTATCTGAAGGCTGCCATAAGGATGTAAAGGGTTAAGTCTCTACTTTACCCTTACACCCACTCCAGAGAAAAACAGTACTATTAGCTTCCTGTGTTTTCCATATGGATACATAAACTTCTGCACACACATGTAATTTTTCTCTCGTTCTGACAGCTATGTATTCTAATGGATGAATATGTAAAATGTATTTAAGTGTTCTATTGGCATTTGTTTCTAGCATCTTTTATATTACAATCTGATAACAATTAAGTTGTTGCATCACTGTTACATTTATTTTGATAAAAGTTGTTTGGCTTTAATTCTTTCATGTTTTTAAACTTTTTTTTCTGCTTTTTATTTTTCAACTTTGGCTGTGGCATAAGGCCTTAATTCTGTCATCTTATTTTGTTATAGTGTCTGTTTGTATGCCTTCCTTTTAAAAATATTTTATGTTCATGTTTTGTTTTAGGGTTTTCCTCCTCATCTAGTAAATACTTCTACTCAATTTATGACCATCATTATTATTATTTAGAGAATATGGAGATGGTTCTGAGGTACAACACAAAAATCTCCATAGGAGAACCTAAGTGTGGCCACTGGATGATCCATTCATGGAAGGAGGCTACTCAAAGTATGAAGATAAAATGTGAGCTGGACAAGAACTACAAAACACACTGAAAGAAATCAGAGATGACACAAACAAATGGAAAAACATTCCAAGCTCATGAGCTAGAAGAATCGATATTATTAAAATGACCATACTGCCCAAAGCAATCTACAGATTCAATGCTATTCCTATCAAACTACAAACATCATTTTTCACAGAATTAGAAAAATCTGGCCAGGCCCAGTAGCTCATGCCTGTAATCCCAGCACTTTGGGAGGCCGAGGTGGGTGGATCACAAGGTCAGGAGTTCAAGACCAGCCTGCCTAAGATGATGAAACCCTATCTCTACTAAAATTACATAAATTAGCTGGGCATAGTTGGTGGGCACCTGTAACCCAGCTACTCAGGAGGCTGAGGCAGGAGAATTGCTTGAACTTGGGAAGGAAGTTGCAGTGAGCTGAGATTGCACCACTGCAGTCAGCCTGGGAGACAGAGCAATACTCCGTCTCAAAAAAAAAAAAAAAAAAAAAAAAAATCCATTCTAAAATTCATATGGAACCAAAAAAATCAATCCTAAGCAAATAAAACAAAGCTGAGGCATCGCATTACCTGAGTTAAACTATACTATAAGGAGGCTACAGTAACCAAAACAGCATGGTACAGGTATAAAAACAGACCCATAGACCAATGGAATGGAATAGACAGAAATAAAGCCACATACCTACAGCCATCTGACCTTTGACAAAGTTAACAAAAATAAGCAACAGAGAAAGGATTCCCTAATTCAACAAATGGTGCTGGAATAGCTGTCTAGCCATATGCAGAAGAATCAAACTGGACCTCTTTCACCATATACAAAAATTACCTCAAGATAGATTAAAGATTTAAATGTAACGGGCCGGGTGCAGTGGCTCATGCCTGTAATTCCAGCACTTTGGGAGACTGAGGTGGGTGGATCACTTGAGGCTAGGAGCTCAAGACCAGCCTGGCCAACATGGTGAAATCCCGTCCCCAAAATAGAAAAATTAGCCAGGCATAGTGGCATGTGCCTGTAATCCCAGCTAGGTCAGGAGGCTGAGACATGAGAATCGCTTGAGCCCAGGAGATGGAGGTTGTGGTGAGCCACGATTGCACTACTGTACTCCAGCCTGGGCAACAGAGGGAGACTCTGTCTAAAAAAATAAAATAAAAATAAAAGATTTAAATGTAAGACTTCAAGCTGTAAGAGTCCTAGAAGAAAACCTACGAAATAACATCTGGACATCAGCTATGGGAAAGACCTATGGCTAAGTCCTCAAAAGCAATTGCAACAAAAACAAAAATTGACAAGTGGAACCTAATTAAACTAAAGAGCTTCTGCATCACAAAAGGAACTATCAATACAGTAAACAGACAACCTACAGAATGCGAGAAAATATTCACAAACTATGCATCTGAAAAAGGTCTAATGTTCACAATCTGTAAGGAACTAAAACAATTCAGAAAACAAAAACCAAGTAACTCGTGGCCAGGTGCGGTGGCTCACTCCTGTAATCCCAGCACTTTGGGAGGCTGAGATGGGTGGATCACCTAAGGTCAGGAATTCCAGACCAGTCTGGCCAACATGGTGAAACCTTGTCTCTACTAACAGTACAAAAATTAGCTGCCCATGGTGGCAGGCACCTGTAATCCCAGCTACTCAGGAGGCTGGGGCAGGAGAATCGCTTGAACCTGGAAAGCGGAGGCTGCAGTGAGATGAGATGGTGCCACTGCACTCTAGCCTGGGTGACAACAGCGAAACTCCATCTCAAAACAAAAACAAAAACAAAAATACACACACACAAACAAAAAACCATTAAAAAAATGCCAAAAGACATGAACAGACACTTTTCAAAAGACGACATACAAGTAGTTAACAAACATGAAAAAATGCTCAACATTATTAATTAGATAAATGCAAATCAAAACCACAATGACTTACCATCTCACACCAGTCAGAATGGCTATTATCAAAAAGTCAAAAAAATAACAGATGCTGGTGAGGCTGTGGGAAAAGGGGAATGCTTCTACACTGTAGAAGCCAGTGCAATGTAGAATGCGCCTACACTGATGGAAATGCAAATTAGTTCAGTCACTGTGAAAGCAGTTTGGAGATTTCTCAAAGAAGTCAGAACTACCATTCGAACCAGCAATCCCATGACTGGGTATACATCCAAATGAAAATGTTCTACCAAAAAGACATACACTTACATTTTCATCACAGCACTATTCACAACAGCAAAGACACAGAATCAACCTAGATGCCCATCAATAGTGGACTGGATAGAGAAAGTCTGGTAAAAATACACCATAGAATACTATGCAGCCATAAAAATGAATGAAAATTATGTCTTTTGCAGTAACATGGATGCAGCTGGAAGTCATTATCATAAGTGAATAAACACAGGAATAGAAAACCAAAGATCGCATGTTCTCACTTATCAGTGGGAACTAAGCAATGGGTACACATGGACATAAAGATGAGAACAGACACTGGGGACTACCGGAGGGAAGAGGGGAGGGAAGGGGTGAAAAACCAACTGTTGGACACTACTATGCTCACTACCTGGGTGACGGGATCATTTGTACGCCAAACCTCAGCATCACAAAATATACCCATATAACTAACCTGCACATGTACTCCCTACATCTAAAATAAAAACTGAAATTATTTTTAAAAAAATGAAATGTGAGTTACGCAAGTCCAGATTCCAGTTGATCCCTGACTTGTCCTCCAAGTCAACAAATCCCATCTTTAAGGGCTCTAGGACACTCTCTGACCAGGTCCTGTTATGAGTTCCCTGTGTTATAATTTTAATTAAAAACCTCAAACTGATTCATCATGAGAGGATACTTCCTGCTCTCAGAGAAATTATTTATTATATTTTGCATTATCCTTGTCATTTTTGTGGATATGAATAAATAACGAAGTAGCTCAGAAAAACACATTTTGAAAAGCCTTATAAAGTTAGAACTTTAAACGCTTTTCATCAAAATTTTATGACCAACACAAATGCCATTCATATATCTTATCACACTATCTATTCTACACATTTTATAGTGATACGTATTTATACATACTGCAGTTGGAAATGGGAAATGCTTTTTTGATCTCCCACGGTAGCCCGCAGATTTTAAAAGCAGAAGTCCTGAACCTCTGAAGGCAACATGAGAAAAGTACTCATTTGAAACCTGTAGTATCAAAAAAAAAAAAAAGAGAGCGAGAGGTCGAGTGCTGTGGCTCACACCTGTATCCCAGCACTTTGGAAGGCTGAGGCCAGAGGATTGCTTGAGATCAGGAGTTCGAGAACAGCTTGGGCAACATAGCGAGTCCTTGTCTCTACTAAAAATAAAAACTAGCTGAGCACACTGGCACACACCTGTAGGCCCCAGCTACTTAGGAGGGTAAGGTGGAAGGATTACTTGAGCCCAGCAGATGGAGGCTGCAGAGAGCTTGATGATACCTCTGCACTCCAGCCTGGTCAACAGAGTGAGATCCTGTATCAAACAAACAAACAGACAAATTTTAAAAAGGGAGAATCAAGATGTTTGCTTTATTTATTTCTTTTAGGGAGTGAGACAGGAGGTAAAAAAAAAAAAAAAAAGTTTGGTTTTTGCTTCAAAGAGCTTTTCTCAAAGAGCAGGGATTTATGTTCATTACATGCAACATGGACAAACACTGTTCTGGGTTTCATGACAATTTGAATTCAAAGTAGTAAGTTTTTCTAAAATTCAGTGTGTTTATTTGGACATACGGATATTCCTTGTGTTCCTGGTCACATATTAAAGGAACTGGCACTTTGGCGGCAAGAACAAATAAAAACTGGTCTTTGATTTGGGTCTAGGTTAATAACTAAAGAACCATTCAGCAATAATGGCTTGAAACATTTATATATCCTATGAAACTGCAATTAGTTAAGAGGCTGCTGATCCTAATAACTATGACACGAGTAAGGGAGTTAGGGGAGAACTGTTAACTCTGGATGCCAAATTCAGAGCAAAATATCTATTACCTCCTTCTCACTTTTGCACTATCTATAAATAAAGTGTGTGGGGGGGAGAATTACATGAATAATGTTAAAAGTGCATACAGAACTGAGAAATTTTTCATGGAATTTGCCACTTAGTTCAATAAAATGCTCATAAGGAAAAAACCATTTACGGCAAAAGACTAGTTACACTGTTGCTGTTTAGAGCATGAGAGCAAAATGAATAACAATCAAATTCTCTAGTTTAAACGTAATTGTCTTAAAACACGTTATTCTGTAAGTTGACATCTATGCCTTGAAAATTCAAGGCAGAAAGTAAAATAATTTAGAAAGTCAGAAATTCCATCAATACATCTAGACAGATGTTTGCTTGTAGTTTTTGGTATCCAAAACCTTTTTTCCACACATCGCACAGATGCCTGAAACAAAAGAAGATACGTGATCAATCAAATCATAATACCAACTGTTTGGTTTAAGTCAATCCTGAAGCTTAAAATATAATTTAACAGCATCAGAAAAGAAAAGAAAAAAAAAACATATATATATATATACTTTTAATTATAAACAGGTTTAAGGTTCCATTTTGCCTTAGGATAAAGAGTGTTTGGTTAACAGAATTTATGACAGGCTACATCGTTTCTGTTAACCAAATTAGCAGCAAATGAAGTAGGTTTTATGAATAGAAAAAAGGTATTAAAAGAAACTTACCTTTTTTGTAGGCACAGCCCTGGCAGTAATGAGAACCTGGTTGGTGCACAGAACTTTTACAAATTCTGCAAGTGGAGAACTTATTCTTTCCATATGGATCAAATCTAGAAATTTTTTTTAATGAGAGAAAATTGTATATTACACTAGAAACACACTCTTAAATAACCCCACTTGTGCAACACACAGGATTAATCCATGCTCTTCATCCCTCCATCAACCTCTACAATTGATGGGTTTAGCCTATTCCAGATGGCTACTGTCTGATATGCCTGTACATCTCTGCTCTGCTCCATCCATGTGAGATATATACTTATAGTCAGTTGTACAGAATTTATTCTTGACGTGTTCGTATCAATTGTATCTGTCATTCTATTTGTGTGACAAAAATATTATGGAAACTGATGAAATGTCGGTGCAAAAAGAGTGACTGATTCCATAAAACCTAAGTGACTACTTTAGGACGACTAGGAATAATCGGAATTGCTATTGAATTAGGTATGGGTAAGACAACGGTTGACAACTGGGGGAAAATCACTAGGAAAGGACTCCATACCTCAGGCATCAATTTTTGCTCCACTTTAAAGATACTGAACATATTCTGATTGTGATTTTTGTGATGACAATCATGTAGAGCACTTATCAGTTGATTTATGCTCAAAAGGCTTTGTTTCAATACCATATGATTAATACATCTACAGTTATGTGCTTTAATTTAAAATAAGGTATGTGTATCTTTTAATGACTGCTTACATTAGCTGACATTTTTAATTAACTGACTCAATCCTTTTAGATAAAAGGGCTTCTACTATATAAAAATGCCATCTTACAGTGACTGGAGTGAAAAAAAGAAATACTTCCCCCTAAAATGGCAATAATACTCTGCTTTAAATGTGCTTCCCTAACTACAAAATGAGTTTTTGTAATGATCCTCATATACCAGATACGAAACACTGTCCTAGACCTAGTGTCTCCTCTTGGGTATAGCATAACAGCCCATTTACAAAGATTTTTCCAAACCACAGAGAATATCACCTTTTTTTTTTTTGAGACGGAATCTCACTCTATAGCCCAGGCTGCAGGGCAATGGCGTGATCTTGGCTCACCACAACCTCTGCCTCCCGGGTGCAAGCGATTCTCCTGTCTCGGCCTCCCAAGTAGCTGGGATTACAGGCATGCACCAACACGCCCAGCTACTTTTGTATTTTTAGTAGAGACGGGGTTTCTCCATGTTGGTCAGGCTGGTCTCAAACTCCCGACCTCAGGTGATCCGCCTGCGTTGGCCTCCCAAAGTGCTGGGATTACAGGGTGTGAGCCATCGTGCCCGGCTGAGAATATCACTTTATTCCCCACAAACGAAGATAGGTACTCTTCTTCCTTTCAATAAGTTCAATTTGCTTGGACACGTATTTCTAGAGGCTATTTTCTCTTAAAACCATATTTTATTATTTAAAAACACACATTTTAACCTTGGAAATCTTAAAACTGGCAGAGTTTTTTCTTAAAGTAACAATGCATCTTATAAATAACAGTACCATAGATTCAAAGCAATACTGTAGTACATTTTCCAAAGTGAGACAGTACCCAAGAGTAACAGCTACTTTTTAATGACATCAGAGTAAGTTTGAGAGCATAAAGGAACTGGAAGTATATAAAACCATAAAATCTGTACAAATAATAGCTCAGTCAATAAAATCTGAATGGTCCTCAAAGACATCAATAAGTCAGTCAACAACATATAGTGTGACTCTGCATTAAAGATCCCATTATGTGCCACGCACTGTATGTAGTTAAGGCTTTATTGTTGCTATTTCTAATCCTCAGGATGACATCATAAAACAGGTATTTATTCATTCAGCAAATATATACTGAGTGCTTATCAAGTACCAAGTACTGTTCTAAATACCAAAGATGAACATGATAGGCAAAGCCCTTGCCCTCATCAGATGATATTCTAGTGAGAAGAGGTAAACAGTAAGTAAGGAAACAGAGAATCTAATAAAACAAGCAAGCTTGTCAAATAGTAGCATTATAGAGAAAATTCTAACAGGATACTAAGGCAGAGATGAGGAAAAGGAAAGAAGAGATTAGTTAACATTCTCTGAGGAAGTGACCCATCAGCTGAGACCCAAACAACAAGAAGAAGCCAGACACATAAGCTCTAACAGAAGACTCCTAGGGGACAGCAGCAAGTAGAAATCTCTTTGGATGGGAGTGGGCTTGGCGGAACTAATGAGGATGGCGTATGATGAGTGAGGAGCAGTGTAGTACAATACAAAGCCAGAGAGGTGCGAGGGGTCCTATCAAGGAGGACCTTGTAAGAATATGGTAGGGGGCTTAGATTTTATGCTATGTGAAAAAGAAAACCAGTGGCGGGTTTTAAGCAAAGGAACTTTGTAAAGGATCGCTCTTGTTACTATGAGACAACTGGGGGAAACTAGAGAAGCAGGAAGACAGTTCAATGGTTATTACAGTTCCAAGTAAGAAATAACAGTGGTTTGGAACAGGATAATAGCAGCAAGATGGACAGAAGCAGGTGGTTTCAGGTTACATTTTACATTTTGGAGGTAGATCCAAAGAACTTGTTGATGGATAGGGGAAGTAGGGGAAAGGGAGGACTCAGTGAGGAATTGTAGCTTTTAGGCTTGAACAACTGGATTAGACAGTGGTGCTACTATGATGAGAAGATGGAAGGAAAAAGAAGTGGCCTGTTAAGACATTAAATGAGCTATGTCAGATAAGCTGCTAGATACATGTTTGGAGCTCAGAGAACTCAGGCCAGAGGTATAAATTCGGGACCTATTTTATATATATAATAATATTGTGTGTGTGTGTGTGTGTGTATAAACATATAGCTTGAATTTAAAGCCAGTAGATTAAAGTCACTTTAGGAGAGTTTATGCATTTATAATAATTTTTAAAGCCTAGGACTGAGTCCTGAAGTACTCAATTGAGAAGGAATAGCTAGTGAGTTGGGAGGAAAACCAGGAGTCCCAGGAGCCAAGAGAAAAACGCGAGAGAATTATGAAGAGGCTAAATAAGAACAGAATCAGTTTTAAAGGTCGCTTGTGATCTCAACAAGAACAGTTTCAGGGCTTTTGTGGGAATAACATACAACTGGAGGGGCTAAAAGAGGGAAAGGAACTTAAGGACACTGAGAAAGTGTCTAGATAAGACTTTGGAAAACCTCTGATGTGAAGGGGAGCAAAGAAATTGGATGGCAGATGAAAGGGTTCACAGAATTTTTTTCTGAAGAGTCTTGCTCTGTCATCCAGGCTGGAGATCAGTAGTGCGATCCTGGCTCAGTGCAGCCTCGACCTCCCTGGGCTCAAGTGATCCTCCCACGTCAGCCTCCTGAGTAGCTGGGACTACAGGCGCGTGCTGCCACACCCACCTGATTTTTCCATTTTTTGTAAGGACAGGGTTTCACCATGTTGCCCAGGCTGGTCTCAAACTCCTGGGCTCAAGTAATCTTTCTGCCTTGGCTTCCCAAAGTGCTGAGATTACAAGTGTGAGTCACCATACCCAGCAGAATTTTTAAGACTGGATCTAATAAAGTATGGTATCAAAAACTTGTTTTTAAGATGGGAGACATTTTTACCCCAATTCTCAGGAAAAAGTAAAGTTTAGAAAGGTCAAGAAACTTGCTTAACTTGCTTAAGGTCATAAGGCTAGACAGTGGGTCTAGACTCAAATTCAGGTTTGACTCCAAAGCTTACCATCTTTCCACATTTCCCTGCTGTCTCTGATTCATAGGATAATTAAGAAGGAGATAAAATACAAGTCATGTTTTCTGGTGAAACTGTAAGAGAATAACACTAATATCTTCATATATTGATACAGCAAGGAGGAATAAGGTAAAACCAGCAGGATTATAACAGATAGCTTGGTTCTGAGTGCTAGGAACCACCTACCTTTATGTTTTATTGCAAATGGAATGATGCACATCAAATTCACTCCAGCAGACTTAATACTAAAAGAAAGGAAATTTATATGATCTGTCTATGGATGCTCTTACCCACCTTGCTTTTTTTGAAGTCAAAGCTTTATTTTCATTCAGCTTTCTCCCACCACTTTCTGTATCAGAATAAAAGATATTTTAGTGGGTTATTTCTATACATTTAACATAAAACATTACGAAGTTCATTCTTTGACTTTCTACCAAAATAGTAGCCTGTATCTAATTTTTAAATCCTCATTTAATAGGCTATTAAGACACTGCTTAAAAAGAAAACATTTATTAGGGAAACAGTAAAAATTTGTATAAAATACAATCATTTTATTTCTCAGACTCAAGGGAGTACTTTAGGAATGGGTCTATATTTACTCTATATAGTGTAAAATCTAGAAGCCACTACTTCAGTGTCATAGACCTTCAATATAATGAAAATGTTTATTTGTCTACGCTTTGAAAACATACTTTACTATATGTATTTAATAATAATGAAGGTAAATACTTCATTATAAAGATTTAATGATAATGAAGGTAAAATGGGTTAAAGCATTTATTTATTCAAGAATATAAAAATCAGAAGATTTAAAAAAATTTCTCCTCAGAAGAGTGGGGAAATTAAAAACAGACTCTAAATAAGCTGAATCAAATCAAATACTGTGATAATCAAATACTGTGATATTGTCACCACTTGACAATCATTGAATAATTTTGCTATCTCCTGATATTGGGAACCCGTACAAGTAACTGAGAACTAAATAGAAGATATTAAATCACTTGGGGACCCAGTATTCTTTAATATTTAATAGATAAAATACTTTGAACATACAACATTTCATTGTACAAATAATGTAAAAGCTAAAATATAATTCACAGTAAGTATTTGGTTAAATTCCTATTTTCTAAAAGAAGAAATACCTGTGGTATTCCTAGCACCATCTTTCCATGTATCTGGAGTGATAACAGTACCAAGTTTCTTTTCACCTGTTAGAACAAGATAGTAAAAGGAAAATTAAAATTTACTATTTCATAAGTGCATTACATTGTGCCTAAGGCTCACAATGGTATCGACTGTCAATGCTATTACCATAGGAGCCTGTTAATGCTGAGAAAGCAGCCAGTCAACTGAGACTCATATTAACTGTGGGCAATGAATGAATGACCGTCGGTAAAATTCGCAGAATAATAAGATGGCTCATAATAAGCTTTCACTGTTTGTTTATACTTTTAAAAAATCCGATAAGTCTATTTGTTCCATAAACATTTACTAAGCATCTATGATGTATAAACTATACAAAGTGCTGAGAAAAAGTGATGAATCGGACAAAATTTTAATGAGATTATAGTATACTAATTTCTTTAACAGCAATCTGTAACCTGGGTTCCCCAGGTGGATCTTAAGAGATATGTGAACAAGGTGGAGTTGTACACAAACCTTTTATATTTTCAGTTTTTTTTCCTCGCAAGAGGCTACAGTTTTCATCAGATTCTCAGAGGGATCAGAGACCGTCCCCCCAAAAAGAACCATTCAACCAAAATGTAAGCTAAAAAATAAAAGATACAATAATTGAGAACTAAAGTACTAGGAGAAATTCCAGGCAGGAAAAAATAACCCTGGCTAAGGAAATCCAAGAAAAGAAAGTTTGGAGAGAAGGCAAGAGAGAGGATTTGAATATGTGGCAACAGGGCTGTGAACAAAAAGGAGTAAAGAGGATGAACGCGAACTAGATAAAGGACACATTCTGAGGAAAGGCATAGAAAGCTTAGAGTACACATGGGCACAAACAGTATTTTGTTTGGTCAAAGTGTGAAGAGGATGAGGGTCAGTGAAAATGAAGCTGGAAAAATAAGTTGGCGCCTTAGTGTGAAGGGTACTGAACGTCAGGTTCCAAATATAGAATCCCCAAATTATTCTCTGCACACTGAGAGTTTATTAAAGGATTTAAATTAGGGAAATAATCATTTGCACTTACGTTGATGTTCAATTCAAACATCTCTGGGTTTACTCTAAGCCATATCCTGGCATAATGACTAATGAGAATGAATAAGGCAAAGTCCTAAGTCTTTGGTTCCAGTGTCTACTAACATTTGGCAGGAGTACAATACTTGTTACACGAATAAAAAGGAAAGGACAGGAATTGCCAAGAGGGAAAGGTGTCGCTGGGGTTTAACTGAACATTTTTATATGGGAGGGGAGCCGATGAGATCTGGGGCTGGGGGAAGGCAATGGAAATAGGGAGATGCAGAACTGAGACCATTCTGAGTACAAAATACATAGGACTGTATGGTCGTTGGGGAGGTGCAAAAATGGTCAAAGGGTAGGGTAGAAAGACAGCGGCTAGAATCAGAGACCTGTGGGCGAAAAAACAAAGAGAAGGCAAAGTTCCCGGGAGAGCTCAGTTAGATTATCCCAGCCTCCTCCTCCCGCAGAAGCAGCCCCTTAACTCACATTTTTCGCACACCATCCTTCCCCACGACAGTTCCCCTAACCGCAACAGCAGCAGCAGGAACCTGAAAACATCAACACTGTAACTGGGAAGTATTCCCCTTCCGGGCTACGTCAACCCACTTCCGGCTTCTAAGCCCACCGCTCCCGCCTACCCCAAACCTGGAAAGCCGCGGGAGGAATGAACGCGAGCGGCTAGGTGGGGCTGCGCCATTTGCCCGCCCCTCCCTTTCTGCGACTGGCTGTTCGGCCGTGGGTGTCCGCCCCACAACCCTGCGTCTGCGCGTGGGCCTGGGCCTCCTGTCGTACCTGATGGTGGGAGGTAGTAGTTCCCCGCTTCCCTTCCGCGGGCGGGAGAGTTAGGTAAGCCCCGCTGGACTTCCCAGGCGCTCTCGCCTCCCGGGGTGCAAGCCACCCCCGCGAATTGCCGAAGCAGCCCTGAGCCTCGGCGCCCCGGCCCGCCCGCTCTCGCCGTCAGCTCGAGCGCCACTCTTCCGGCGTGCCCTGATGGACAGACCCCCCTTTCGGATCCGAGTTTTTGCCTCTGTCCCCCAGTTTTTCTTTGTCTCTAACTCCCGAGCTCTTTGATCCTGCTTCTCAGCTGGTTCCTCGCTGCCCACGCTCGCGCCGGCCTAGGGTCGGGCAGAATTCCCAGCGACCAGGGTTGGGGTGGAGCTGCCGGTGGAGGTGCGGCGATGCCCGTGAAGGCTCCTCTGGGGGCCGCTCTGAAGAGCCTTCTCTCCGCTGCGGTGCCTGGCGAGGTGGGCCGCGTCATGCCCGTGGCACCCCTGCAGGCGCCCTGGGGGCACGCCAGGGCCTAACACGGTGCTGGTTTCCCAGGAGAGTTGGTTTCCCACTTTGCCTACTCTGGTTCCTTCATTCACTCAGCAAACGGTTGAGTTTGGTACCTGCTCACTGTATTACATCCACATCTGATGGCAGCTGCGATTCCGAGGGTGGCTCAGAAAAATGGCTGAAGGGCTATCTGTTGAGAGAATGGATTCCTGATCCCCTTGCCCTCCCTCAATCAGCTTAAGAGAATCTATGGGAAAGTTTACCTTTCTCCCTTCTTGCCATCCGTTTGCTTCTTCATGCCTAGTGTATTTCCTTATACCAGAGAGATAGCTGTAGCGCGTGGGACCTTGGATCACCTCACCTGTTTGCCTTGTTTCCTTATCAGTAAAATATCTGCCTTTGAAAAGCACTGGGTGAATTAAATGAGAGCTATTAGCATAAGGCCCAGGTTCGCCCTTCTGCTTTTCGCACTAGCGGGCGCCCCTCCGCGCACGCGCGCGCGCGCGCGCCCACGTGTATGTGTGTGTGTGTGTATGTGTGTGTGTGTGTGTGTATGTATAGTATTTTTTTTCTGAGATATTTCTATTTTCTGGAATATTCTCCATAGTGTAACATATTGACTGTTACTTTAAATTAATAAAGTCCTTGTTTAACAGTACAATTAACTCTCAGGTAATTTAAATACGTGTATTTTAGAGATGAGTAATTTGTTTTCCCTCCTTCCATTCGTGCTCTACTTTTGGTTGGAATTTAACACCTGTAACAGACGTTGTCATCTTGGTATTTCTGAAGCATCGGGATCCCTTAGTTTAGTGTGGTGCTCTTTGAACTCTTGATTCCACTGGCCACCATTTGAGTATTCGAGTGTGCACTTGGTGTCATTTGGCATTTGCTAGAAGATGTGAACTACTGTAATGTTAGACAAGAGTAAAAAAACCCCAGCAATTTAGCCTAAGTATATATTTGGGGTTGTTGGAATTATAACTTATGCATTCTGGAAACCTCATAAATAAACTTTGGTTATAATTCCAACAGGCAGTAGATAATTTAATCCACACAGTTGATTTCATCTCTGTGATATTGGCCAAAAAAGTTTAAATGAATTGTTTTACTGGTCCTAGGACATGACCCTTTTGCAGAAACCAGTCACAATATTTAAGAAATTAGTAAATTTGTTTTTTTAAGACTCTGAGAGATGTTTGTACCATATTAAGAAAATCAAAGGTAGAATAAAAAGTCTATATGTGCATCTACACAGCTGCATCTTCTGTGTTTTGAAACAAATACATTGCTCATAGCAAATTGACTTTATGACTTATTTTTAGGGGTTGAAACATTTAAGATAATGGAAAAAGTCATTATTGCGTATGCTCTTCCTTTCTTGTTTTTCGTTAGCTAACCACCCGAGAAAACACCATGAAAGACACCGATATCAAAAGACTACTGTATACCCATCTTTTATGCATATTTTCGATTATCCTAAGTGTCTTCATTCCATCACTCTTCTTGGAGAACTTCTCGATATTGGAAACACACTTGACATGGTTGTGCATCTGTTCTGGTTTTGTAACTGCTGTCAATCTAGTACTATATTTAGCAGTGAAACCAAATACATCCTCTAAAAGAAGTTCATTATCACACAAGGTAAGGCTTATGTCTCAATAACTGGTTTTTGGATGGAGCTAGTGCTTCTTTTAATGGAAGAATAAAGTATTCGTCAAGTCTTCATTAGGTTATTTACAGTGAGTAAAGGGAACCTGATTTTTTCCCACCAAATTGGTAGCCTGTTACTTGCTGGAAGGCTGCCCATAATGTTTGATTAATCCCTGCCTTGCATTAATTGTGGAATTATGACTTCTTCAGAGCTTATGATAGTATTGTGAGCCTGTATAGTCATTGTTTTATGTCACCATTGAAAATAAATACATGTGACAGTCTGTCTTTAAACCTTATTCAATAAGACATTGTAGTTTATTTTTATTTATTTTTGCATTTTTGAAAGCCACTTAATGGGTTTTTCAGAAACTGCAATATAAGCCTGTGGTAATGCTTGTTTCCAACGTGGCCTTCCTTGACTAAATAATTTTCAGATGTTAGAATCAATTTTCCAGAATATTCACTGCAGTAGATATTCACTTGGCTATTACTAATAATGCCCATACTTAACATTATTTTCTACTGTGTTGTAAGGTCTGTTAGGTCATTTACTGCCTATGACTGGAAAAGCTGAATGTATGTGTTATGTTTATATATTCTTAAGCTCCAAATCAAGAAGGTCTCATGTTTCTTTGTAGATGTTCAGGTCTTTTTTCATATGGGTCGTGTAATATGAGTGTGATTTCAAGAATTATTTAGTATTTTGGTTTTTTAGTGCAATTTTCCCAGGAATTTTGTTTTAAAATGAAAAAAATTGTTATTTTCTGCAGATATTTCCTCTGTCATCACATAACACTGTATTTTTTGTATACTAGCTCTGATATCAATCAATATTTAATAAATACTGATTAATGACATAGCTCTGTATGTTATCATGGAAGCAGAACCTCTTTTACACTCATGTAGGTCGGATGGGTGGAATATGGGTGGGGTTTGATATTTGCCTTTTAGGCTTTTTTAGTCTGTATCGAGGGCTGTGTATGTGACTGGGTACAGGACATGTGATCTGATTTGAGTATACCCAAGAACATTTGAACTGTTTTACATATTATGGGAACAAGTTGTGTTTGTAGATAAAATGGAAGAATTTATTTTCCTTTAGGCATTATCTTGAGTCTTCAGGTTATTCATTTCTCTTTTAGGTAACCAGATTTTTGAAATGCTGTATCTACTTTCTTATGTCTTGTTTCTCCTTTCATGTAATTTTTGTTCTGTATGGAGCACCACTAATAGAGTAAGTTTGAAACTTTTACCCTAAATTTATATTTTAAAACATTCATTTACCAAACTGTGCTCATTCTTAGCAACTAGAAAAACCATGATGTGCACCATTAATAGATCAAGTAAGGGCACCAACATCATTAGCAGTGTTATTCTTTTTTAAAAAACAGCAGAATAACTTAATTTATTAAATACTCTTGTTACCTAGCCTTCTATTATCCAATTACATGTTGGGAGAAGGGAGAGTAGAGAAACTATACTATACCAATAAATATCTGGCCCTTAGAACCTCTGAGAGAACTTACTATGATTGTATGTGTAAGTTAGTTACAATTAGCATATCAGTTCTTATAAATGTGATTCTAAAGTACTTGAATGGAGTTTTTCTTAACAAAAGTCAATAGATTCCTGTATTCAAATACTTAATATTTTTGTATATTAAGTGTATACAAAATATACTGGTGGTGGTGTTTATAGTTTAAAGATAAAATTTAACACTTTTTCTGAACTGACAAATTTCAAATTCTTAAAAACTAAATTCATGAATGTTTCTTACAAAATGTTTATCATAGTTTGAGAAGCTTCAGTTTAGCAGTGATTAATGATCATGGTGAAATGAGTGATGAGATACATATACTTATACACACACATATATATGTGTTGCTAAGTATACCGTTTTTTATGTGTGTATATATATATTTATACATAGTTTTACATACACACACTAAACCGACAGGTTATTCTTTTCTAGATGGGAGAGAACAAGACCTTTGTAATGGGAAATGGTGATTCCTGTCTAATCCATTTTAAAGTAGAATGAATGTGTCTGGCACAGTGGTTCTCAACATGTGGTTTTCAAACCAGCAGCATCAGCATTTTATCAAAATACAGATACTCAAGCTTCAGTCAGGAACTCTAGGGGTAGAGCCCCCGCCAATCTTTAGTTTATCCAGCTCTCCAGGTGGTTCCAATAGATGTTAACATTGAACCATTAGTTGTAGAGAAAGTTCCAGAGACTATTGAGGAAAAAGCTAACTATCTAGAAATGGATTCTGTTTTTTGTTTGTTTTTGCAATGAAAGTCTTAGCATGGATCCTAGGGTCTTTAACACTTCTGAAATCTATCATTAAAGTGAAATATTTGCTAGATTTTTTTTTAAAGCTGCATGTTGGTAGTAAAATTATTTATAGTCATCATTTTGGTGGCACTTAAGCAGAGGAAGATATTTTATATTTTATTTATATAATAATGATTGTGTATGTGTATGTGTACCTTTAACACTTTTAAATAAATTCATCTTTTTTTTTTCCAGGTTGGCATTGGAAACATTTTTATTTGCAGTTATTTTGTCTACTTTTACTACTGTGCCTTGCTTGTGTTTGTTAGGACCAAACCTCAAAGCATGGCTAAGGGTTTTCAGTAGAAACGGGTAAGTTTTAATTTTATATTATAATGATACTGAAATTTTAAAAAAAGTAATGAAGTATTTTTCTATTCATGGCAGTTTGCTGATTATTCTGAGTGCTTCTCATTGCTGATGGTGCTCAGAGATGCCTTAAGGGGTCACTGCAACTGGGGACTGGGGACAGGGCAGGCAGAACTACAAGCCCCTCCCTCCACATTAGCAAGATCAGCTCTGCTTTTTTCTATATGGTAGAATTCCACCTGGCCTTTTGTTTGTTTAAAAAGAAGAAGAAGAAGAAGAAATATTAAAAGAAAGCTTTAAAACCGTGGTTCTGGGATCATTTGGCACTGTGATAAAACTGCTGTAAATAAAATTGCTTACATACATTTTTTAAGGTAGAAATGGGGTCCACAATCTAAAAATGTGTTGTGTAACAATGATGATTTCTTGCTTAGCCTTTTTCGTGATAAGATACCACAGCGCAAGTTTTATGGGATTTCATTTCCTTGGCGGCCGTATATATTTTCAGCATGACTAAGTTAAAATTTTAGCTTCTTGAAAGTCACTGAACTGATATGCACCAGAAATAGTGGAGATCTAGCTAATAAAGCCAGAAGGTTATTTGATTCTGTCCTGTTTATCACCCAGCAGCAAAAACTTCTTAAGCACTGACTCTGTGCTCTGTGTTAATGCTAGGCTGTGTGGATTCTGAAGTATTAGGGGGATTCTTTTTTTTTTTTTTTTTTTTTTTGAGATGGAACCTCGCTGTGTCCCCAGGCTGGAGTGCAGTGGCGTGATTTCAGTTCACTGCAACCTCCACCTCCCAGGTTCAAGTGATTCTCCTGCCTCAGCCTCCCAAGTAGCTGGGACTACAGGCGCACGCTACCACGCCCAGCTAATTTTTGTATTTTTAGTAGAAATGGGGTTTCACCACGTTGGCCAGGATGGTCTTGATCTTGACCTCATGATCCACCACCTTGCCTCCGAAAGTGCTGGGATTACAGGTGTGAGCCACCGCACCCAGCCTTATTAGGAGGATTCTTTTGCTAAGGAGCTTATCTGTTCAAACCAAATAACATAAGATTACAAATGTGGAAATCCAGCAATAAGTGTTGTAGGAACTCAGAGGAACAGAGCATCAGTAAAGAATGGAGGGGGAGAGGGGAATGATCTATGATGGACTTAAGTCAAGAGTGTATGATTTGGTGAGACCAAGAAGAAAGAGAAAGCTACCTCGTGCAAGGAGAATGGATAAAAGCATTGAAACTGAGATTAACAGGGTATTTTTGTGTGATTTGAAAGGTTACAGCCCAATGAGAGCAAAAGATGCATGCTGAATAGCTTGGCTTCATAAATTACTGACTTACTCCCTTTGAAATCAGTACTGTTTGGGACAGGTGTGGTAGCTCACGCCTGTAATCTCAGCACCTTGGGAGGCCAAGGTGGATGGATCACCTGAGGTCAGGAGTTCAAGGCCAGCCTGGCCAACATAGTGAAACCCCATCTTTACTAAAAATACTAAAATTAGCTGGGCGTGGTGGTGGGCGCCTGTAGTCCCAGCTGCTTGGGAAGCTGAGACAGGAGAATTCCTTGAACCCAGGAGGTGGAGGGGTTGCAGCGAGCTGAGATCGTACCACTGCACCCAGACTGGGCAACATAGTGAGACTCTGTCTGAAAAAAAAAAAAAAAAGGAATTTAGTACTGTTTGTTTTCCCTTGGAACCGTCTTCTAATATTCATAAAGTCTCTAGAAAACAGAAGTGTAACAACTGAAAGCATTTTCTACATTATTACCATAATATCCCAAATGGTATCAATTGCTTTTAACCTTTTAGTTTGAAATTTTTAAATAGTGAAATTGGATTGAAATCTTATTACTTTGGATTAGTGATTTCTCCGGTTTTCAAATCTATGTCTAATAATGAGTGTATCTGGGGAGATACTGTCATGTGATTTTACAGTTAGTTCTGCTGTAATGTGGCCTGTGTGTTCCTGAAAATCACTACACTGCACAAAATGGGCAATAAAAACCACAGAGCTTATGGGAAAGATGGGGTTAGGGCATAACACTAAAACAATTCATCAGCGACATGTAAAGAGAAGATGGGACCTTAATAAAAATGGTGGCACAGTTTTACACATGTAAAATGGTTACGAAATACAGGCATACCTGATTTTATTGTCCCTCACTTTATTGGACTTCTCAGATGTTGCTCGAATACTGTTTTTTATAAATGGAAGGTTTGTGGCAACCCTGCATCAAGCAAACGTATTAGCGCCATTTTTCCAACAGTAGTTGTTCTCTTCATTGGAAACTCACACAATGTTTCAAGCGTTTTCATTGTTACTATATCTTTTATGGTGATCTGTGATCTTTGCTGTTACTTTTTGTAATTGTTTTGCGGGACCATGGCTCATGCCCATATAAGATGGCGATCTTAATAATTGTTGTATGTATTCTGACTGCTTCACCTACCTACGTTCTCTCTCTCTCTCTCTCTCTCTCTCACCCTCCCTCTCTCTCTCTCACCCTCCCTCTCTCTCCCCTCCCTGTTCCCTGAGATACAAAAATATCAAATTTAGGCCAGTTAGTAACCCTACTATGGCCTCTCAAGTGTTCAAGTGAAAGGAAAAAGTTTACGTGTCTCTCACTTTAAATCAAAAGCTAGAAGTGATTAAGTTTAATGAAAAAGTTAGGTTGTCAAGAACTGAGATAGACTAAAAGTGAAGCCCCTTGTGCCAAATAGCCAAGTTGTGAATGCAAAGGAAAAGTTCTTAAAGGAAATTTAAAGTCTACTCTAGTGAACACGTGAGTGACAAGGAAGTGGAACAGCCTTATTGCTGATGGGGAGAAAGTTTTATGGTCTGGACAGAAGGTCAAACCAGGTACAACATTCTAAGCCAAATCCTAATCCAGAATAAGGCTCTAACTCTCTTCAATTCTGTGAAGGCTGAGAGAGGTGAGAAAGTTACAGAAGAAAAGTTTGAAACTAGCAGTGGTTGATTCATGAGGCTTAAGGAAAGAAGCCATCGCCATCACATAAAAGTGCAAGGTAAAGCAACAAGTGCTGATGTAGAAGCTGGAGCAGGTTATCCAGAAGATCTAGCCAAGCTCATTGGTGAAGGTGGCTAAATAACAGATTTTTAATGTAAACTAAACAGCCTTCTATTGAAAGAAGATGCCATCTGGGACTTTTAAAGTTAGAGAGGAGAAGTCAGTGGCCACTTTCAATGCTTGACAGGCTGACTGTCTTGTTAGGGGCTGGTGCAGCTAGAGAATTTAAGTTGAAGTCAGTGCTAATTTACCATTTTGCAAATCCTAGGGCCCTTAAGAATTATGCTAAATCTAGTTTGCCTGTATACTGTCAATGGAACAACAAAGTCTGGATGACAACACATCTGTTTATAACATGGTTTACTGAATATTTTACGCTCACTTTTGAGACCTACTGCTCGGGGGGGAAAAATATATATATATATATATATATATACACACATACTTTCAAAATATTGCTGCTCATTGACAATGTACCTAGTCAGCTCTGTTGGAGATGTACAAGAATATTAATGTTTTTTTCATGCCTACAACACAAGATCCATTCTGTAACCCATGAATCAAGGAGTTATTTTCATTTTCAAGTCTTATTACTTAAGAAACACATTTTGTAAGGCTATAGCTGCCATAGATAATGATTCCTCTGATGGATTTGGGAAAAGTAAATTGAAAACCTTCTGGAAAGGATTCACCATTGTAGATGGATGCTATTGAGGACATTTGTGATTCATGGGAGGAGATAAAAATATCAACATTGACGAGAAGCTGATTCTATTCCTCATGAATGATGTTGAGAGGTTCAGGACTTCAGTGGAGGAAACCACCACAGATGTGGTGGAAATAGCCAGAGAACTAGAATTAGAACAGTATCCTGAAGATGTGACTGAATTGCTGCAACATTATGATAAAACATGAACAGATGAGGAATTACTTCTGGATGAGAAAGAAAATGGTCTCCTGAGATGGAATCTACTAGTGAAGATGCCATGAATATTGTTGAAATGACAAAAAAGGATTTATGATATTGCATAAACTTAGTTAATAAAACAATGGCAGGGTTTGAGAGGGTTGACTCCAATTTTGAAAGAAGGTCTACTGTGGGTAAAATGCTATCAAACAGCATGGCATGCTACAGATAAATCTTTTCTGGAAGGAAGAGTCAATTGATGCAAGCAACTGCATGATTAAAATTTCATTTTAAGAAATTGCTGGCTGGGCGCGGTGGCTCATGCCCATAATCTCAGCACTTTGGGAGTCTGAGGCAGGCAGATCACTTGAGGTCAGGAGTTTGAGACCAGCCTGGCCAACATGGTGAAACTCTGTCTCTACTAAAAATACAAGAAAAATTAGCTGGGCGTGCTGGTAGGTGCCTGTAATCCCAGCTACTTGGGAGGCTGAGGCACAAGAATTGCTTGAAGCCAGGAGGCAGAGGTTGCAGTGAGTTGAGATTGTGCCACTGCACTCCTGCCTGGGCAATAGAGCAAGACTCAGCCTTAAAAAAAAAAAAGAAATCTCCACAGCCTCCTCAACCATCACCCTAATCAGTCAGCAGCCATCAACTTGAAGACCACACCTTCCACCAGCAAAAAGATTACAACTTGCTGAAGGCTCAGATAATTATTAACATTATTTAGTAATAAAGTATTTTTAAATTACGTCCATTTAAAAAACATAATGCTATTGCCCACTTAATAGACTATGATATAGTAGAAATATAACTTTTATATACACTGGGAAACCAGAAAATTCATATGACTCACTTTATTGTATAATTTGCTTTATTCTGGTGGTCTGGAACCAAATCTGCAGTATCTGCAAGGTGTGCCTGCACCCAAATATTACAATAAACATGGCACTTTTCCTTGGAAAAGGTTTCCTTGGCAAAGGTTTGCTCCTGGAAGTAGACGTGAGAAGGGTTGCCTATTGTGAGTTATTGCGAAGTGGTGAGATGGTTGTTGGAAATCTGAGGG